GGCGATATACAGCAAGCCTATAGCCAACATCAAACTGAACGGAGAGAAATTTAAAGCAATCCCTCTGAAATCAGGGACAAGACAAGGCTGCCCACTGTCTCCATATCTCTTCAACATAGTGCTGGAAGTCCTTGCTAGAGCAATAAGACAGTCGAAGGAGATCAAGGGGATACAGATGGGAAAAGAAGAAGTCAAATTATCACTATTTGCAGATGATATGATAGTATATATGAGTGACCCCAAAAACTCTACCAGGGAACTCCTACAGCTGATAAACACCTTCAGCAAAGTGGCCGGATATAAAATTAACTCAAAAAAATCAGTAGCACTCCTGTATACAAAAGACAAAAGGGCTGAGAAAGAAATTAGAGAAACAACACCATTCACAATAGCCACAAATGACATAAAGTACCTTGGCGTAACCCTAACCAAGCAAGTCAAAGACTTGTATGAAAAAAATTTCAGGTCTCTGAAGAAAGAATTAGAGGAAGATATGAGAAGATGGAAAGATCTCCCATGCTCATGGCTTGGCAGGATTAACATAGTAAAAATGGCCATCTTACCAAAAGCAATCTACAGATTTAATGCAATTCCCATCAAATTGCCAACACAATTCTTTACAGACCTGGAAAGAAAAATTCTCAACTTCGTATGGAATAACAAGAAACCGAGAATTGCTAAAACAATCCTCTACAATAAAAGATCTTCTGGAGGTATCTCCATCCCTGATCTCAAGCTGTACTATAGAGCAACAGTTATAAAAACTGCATGGTACTGGCATAGAAACAGAATGGTGGATCAATGGAATCGAACAGAAGACCCAGAAATAAACCCACACACTTACGGACACCTGATTTTTGACAAAGATGCCAAAACCATACAATGGAAAAAAGATAGCATCTTCAACAAATGGTGCTGGTCTAACTGGAAGTCTACATGTACAGAAATGGAAATAGATCCATACTTATCACCCTGCACAAAACTGAAGTCCAAGTGGATCAAAGACCTCAACATAAAACCAGACACATTAAATCGGCTAGAAAAAAAAGTGGGGAATACCCTAGAACTCATTGGTACAGGAGAAAACTTCCTGAACAGAACACCAACAGCACAGGCTCTAAGAGCAACAATCAATAAATGGGACCTCATGAAATTGAAAAGCTTCTGTAAAGCAAAGGACACCGTCATCAAAACAAAGCGACTGCCTACAGATTGGGAAAGAATCATCACCAACCCTCTATCTGACAGAGGACTCATATCCAATATATATAAAGAACTAAACAAGCTGAAAAGCAACAAACCAAGTAATCCACTTAAAAAATGGGGAACAGAGCTAAAGAGAGAATTCTCTGCAGAGGAATATCGAATGGCAGAGAAGCACTTAAAGAAATGCTCAACCTCATTAGCCATTAGGGAAATGCAAATCAAAACAACCCTGAGATTTCACCTTACACCCATCAGAATGGCCAAGATGAAAATCTCAAGGGACAACACATGCTGGAGAGGTTGTGGAGAAAGGGGAACCCTTCTCCACTGCTGGTGGGAATGTAAACTGGTACAACCACTCTGGAAATCAATCTGGCGCTTTCTCAGACAACTAGGAATAGCGCTTCCTCAAGATCCAGCCATACCACTCCTAGGCATATACCCAAAAGAGGCGCAAGTACACAACAAGGACATTTGTTCAACCATGTTTGTAGCAGCTTTATTTGTAATAGCCAGAAGCTGGAAACAACCCAGATGCCCCTCAACTGAAGAATGGATGCAGAAACTGTGGTACATCTATACAATGGAGTATTACTCAGCAATGAAAAATAAGGAAATCATGAAATTTGCAGGTAAATGGTGGGACCTGGAAAGGATCATCCTGAGTGAGTTGACCCAAAAGCAAAAAGACACTCACGGTATATACTCACTCATATAAACATACAATATAGAATAAACCCACTAAAAGCTGTACATCTAAACAAACTAAGCAAAGGAGAGGACCCTAACTAAAATGTTCAATCCCCATCCTGAAAGGCAAAGAGGATGTACATCAGAAGAAAACGAAAATAGGAAACAACCTCGGAACCCGCTACAGAGTGCCTCTGAAAGCCAGAAGAAAACAGGAAACAACCTTGAAACCTGCCACAGAGGGCCTCTGAAAGCTTCTGCAGTATAGACTGTCAAAGCAGATGCTGAGCCTGATGGCCAACTGATGGGCAGAGTGAATGGAATTTTATGTAAGAAGTGGGAAATAGTAAGAGCTGGAGGGGACAGGAACTCCACAAGCAGAGCAACAGAACAAGATAATTTGAACACAGGGAACTTCCCAGAGACTCATACTCCAACCAAGGACTATTTGTGGAGATAACCTGGAACCCCTGCACAGGTGTAGCCCATGGCAGTTCAGTGTCCAAGTGGGTTCCATAGTAATGGGAAGAGGGACTGCCTCTGACATAATCTGATTGGCCTGCTCATTGATCACTTCCCCCTGAGGGGGGAGCAGCCTTACCAGGCCACAGTAGAGGACAATGCAGCCACTTTTGATGAGAACTGATAGACTAAGATCAGAAAGAAGGAGAGGAGGACCTCCCCTATCAGTGGACTTGGGGAGTGGCATGCATGCAGAAAGGGGAGGGAGGGTGGGATCGGCAGGGGAGGAGGGAGGGGCTCATGGGGGGATACAAAATGAATAAAGTGTAATTAATAAAAAAAAATAAAAGATTTAAAAAAAATAAAAAAAATTAATGGTTTAAAAAAAAAAGATAATATGAGATATCTATAATCTTTCAAGGACTTTCAATAGTAATCACAATAGGACCTGGAGTTCCATACTACTAATGCATGTCATCATCTTACCAAGCAGCATTTTTCTTCATATCTGATAACATTATCATGTTTTAACGCACTGAGACAGTTTTAATATTCGCTATTTTTACATTTAAACTTACCCGAACAAGTTTAATATTTATATTATTCAGTGCTCTCTATGTATACATAAAATTTGAGTAGTATACATAGAGTTGTATACATAGAATTCGTAAAACAGAAATGTGCAAGAAAATATGTACCTTCATGTAGGGTAGAATATTAATAATTTCTTATATTTTTCTATGATAAAATAATAAACCTAACCCTAAAACTCAATGGGACATTGTTTAGTCATTCATTGAGAGATAGCTAGATATTATTGAAAATTTCATGTGATTCATGATTTTCCATCTTGGAAATTAATTATGTACCACAAAATATCTAATACAGTGCTTCTCCTAATGTTGCAGCCATTTAATATAGTTCCTTGTTTTATTGTAACCCCTAATCAAAGACTATTAAATTGCTACTTTACAACTGAAATGTTGCCACTGTTATGAATTGTAATGTAAATAAATATCTGATATGCAGAATATCTGCTATGTCATCCCTAAAAAGGTTGGGCCCCACAAGTTGAGAAGTATTGTTATACTCTAACGTAATGTTATCTTGGATTCAAAGTTGATAAAAACTCTCAACTTGTTTTAAGATATCACAGATTTATGTGTCTTACTTAGTATGCACAAAGTTTTCCTAACACTTTTTATGTGCATCCAGAGAGAAAGCCGTGTCATGCTACTGAGGAAACTTGTTAAGACGCTGATGTTAGCAATGGGATCTGATTACATAACCATGTTTTATATTGGTAGTCACCACAGGAAGATTTGAAGACTTCATTCATTTTAGGATGCAGAAGTTAATTTCTGCTAAAACTGAAAATTTTCTGATAAGATTCTGGTTTCCTTTCTAATACCATTGTCTTTAGACATACTGGCAGTTACCTGAAAAAAAGTTTTTGCTTTATTTTATTATCTCGACATAAACACTCTAGTCACTCTTCTGCATGTCTATAAGACTTCAGTGGCAAAAAAATAAAAAATAAAAAAATAAATGCCCTGTCATTCTTGTTCTTTATCAGTGGAAGTAATTTTCTCACACCTGAAATGAGCACACTATCAATCTCCACTTTGTCTCCGAAGTCAGGGAAAAACCAGGAAATGACTCTTGTTGCTGCTTCTTGTACAGTAGGTTATACAATTTTGAAAACCTGACTTCCATTACTAATTGTTCCAATTAAATAATCATTCAGTTGATTATTTTGTGAGTTTTAATGTATCTCTAAAAGACTCCAAGCATAAATCCTGTTTGAGTAGAAGAGCTGCTTCCATGTCAAAGATTAAAGTAGGCTAGGATTTAGCTGGGCCTACAAGGTGCCTTGCTCAGCTGAGCCAATATCACAGGCAGACTTGCAATAACTAAGTGATGAAAGCTTCATTTTCCCACTGTGTTGATGGCCCAGCCTAATTTTAAGTTAACAGCTAGATATATTTTGAAAATATTTGTCTGACACATTATTTAAAATCTGCTCCCACAATATGGTGAGATTTTATTTTATGCTGAATAGAGTTTCTTGAAAAAAATATTTTGAATAAAAATTACTCTCAATCTGTTAAGAGAACATGTACTTAAAATTAAGCTATAGGAGTAAAACTATGTGTTAAGAAAATTTACCATTCAAAGGAGACAAGTTTCCGAATCAGCCATCCTTAAGACCGAAAGTTAAAATATATGTATACATTTCTGTATTCATTTTCATTGAAGTAAAATGTTTGTGATAGCTAAGGGTATATATGAAGAGTAGCATAATAAAGTACCAGCAAATCTATATTCAAAGAACAGTGGTAAAACAAAGAACTTTAGTAAAGTTCTCTTGGACAATCTTTAGAAGTCATCTAATAAAGATCTTACTGGATGTGTTAAACTTACTTTAAAAATTTGACTGCATAAAAATTATTAAATATAAGAGTATCATGTTCTTAGAAATAAAGGTTGTTGTGCTTGTTCTAGCTCCCAAATATAAATGTGAGACCCCTTACATTTATATTAGGCTTACAGCATTGTAAGTGGGCAGGTATCTATCTATTCTAACTCAACTATGTTAGCCTGTCCTACTTCCCATCTATGTACTCTATTTCCTGTCCTCTATTATCATCCTGGTCCCCTAGGCTCCATCATAGGTCAGAACAATGAGGACAGACATAGTATCCTTCCTCTCTGCCACCTACTGATGCACAAATGACACATCAGACACACCTTCAATGCCTCGAGGGATAGGATTTTTTGAACTTTTAAAACTTAGCTTAGTTACGAAATAAATGACGCTGAAGATTTGTTCAGGAAAAAATGATATGTGCCTAATAATTTAGACTTCAGATATGAATCAAGAACAAGGAAGGCAGCTATAATTACATAACATTTTACTTATTCAATAACTTGTATTTCTTCTGCTGTGAGAGAAGCATAAATTCCAACAAAATTTTCTGCTGTCAAGAACTCTGATTCTTGTAGAAAAGATGCTAGTTAAACTGTAAAAGAAAATAAATGGCACATGGTAAAATAGATGACCTTGGGTATAGTTTTTGCTTGGGTATTGGGGGTCACAAACTCAGGGCATTTACCAACAAAGTCAAACCTGAAATAACCTGAGGGTTTTTTTTTTTTCTTTTTTCCCCAATGGCTTTTTTTGTTGTTATTTTGTTATTATTTTATTTTATTTTTCTTATTAGTTACATTTTGTTAACTCTGTATCCCAGCTGTACCCTGCTCCCTCTTTCCCTCCCTAATCCCATCCTCCCTCCCTCATCTCCTCCCTGTCCCTTTCCAAGTCCACTGATAGGGGAGGTCCTCCTCCCCTTTCATCTGATCCTGTTTTATCAGGTATCTTCAGGACTGGCTGCAAAGTCCTCCTCTGTGGCCTAACAGTACTGCTCCTCCCTTGGGGGGGTGGGGAGGTCAAAGAGCCTGCCATTGAGTTCCTGTCAGAAATAGTTCTTGTTCCCCACACTATGGGAAACCAATTGGTTACTGAGCTACCACAGGCGACATCTGAGGAGAGGTTCTAGGTTATATCCATTCATGGTTGAGAGTCAGTCTCAGAAAAGACCCTGTGCCCAGATATATTTGGTCCTTGTGGAGCTCCTATCCTTTCCACATCATTGTAACTCCCCTTCTTTCATATGATTCCTTGTACTCTGCCTAAGGTTTGGTTATGAGTCTTAGTATCTGACTTGAAACACTGCTAGGTAGAGTCTTTCAGATGCCTTCTGTGGTAGACTCCTGTCATACGTTCAATGCACATTCCATTTGTCTTTCTAAATGAGCATTGGTCATCTTATCCTGTGTTTGCTTTCTTATCTTCTTTAGGTGTGTAGATTTCATTATGTTTATCATATCTTGTATAACCTGAGCTTTTAAAGAAAGTTAGGTCTCAACTAGACAGAGGAAGCCAAATTCATGAAGCCCATATATGATTTAAGTATTTGATATGACTGACTTGAAATTCTTTTTTTTTGTTTGTTTGTTTTTTTCAAAAAATATTTATATATTTATTTATTAAAATTTATTTATTAAATTATTTATTAATAAATAAATTTATGTATTAAAAATTATTAAATTTTATTTATTAAAATTTATTCAATTTGTGTCTCCATTGTAGCCCCCTCTCTTGTCTCTTCTTAGTCCCACCCACCTTCCCTCTTCTCCCCCCTATGTCCTTTCCCTAGTCCCCTGATAGAGGAGAACCTCCTCCCCTTGTATCTGATCTTAGCTTATCAGATATCAAGCCTAACTATATAATCTTCCTCTGTGCCTTAGCAAGGCTGCACCCACCAGGGGGAGGTGATAAAAGAGCTGGCCACTTGAGTTCATGTCAAAAACAGCCCCTGGACCCCTTACTATGGAATCCACTTGGAAACTGAGCAGCCAATGGGCTTCCTTTGAACAGGGGATCTAGGTCCTTTCCATTCATGGTTCTTAGTTGGAGTATTGGTCCCTGCAGGCAGCCTGGGCCAGGTATTTTGGTTCTATTGCTCTCCTTGTGGAGTTTCTATCCCCTCCAGGTCTTTCTATCTCCCTCTTCTTCCATAAGGATTCTGGAACTCTGCCCAAAGTTTGGCTGAGTCTCAGCATCTCCTTTGATACCCTGGTGGATAAAGTCTTTCAGAGGTCCTCTGTGGAAGGCTACTGTCCTGTTCCTTGTCTTCTCGTATTTCTGATGTCTATCCTGTTTGTCCTTCTGAATGAGGATTAAACATCTTCTTAGTGACTGTATTTTGAGTTTGTATTTATTAGACAACTCCAAAGGAAAAATAAAGGATACACATGAGAAACACACATAAAACAATACGTACATTGTTCTTTTTGCCTAGTTTGCCTCTGATGTAGCAATCAGAGTAGTACATGAAAACTACCTTTTACTGAACCCCAAATGCCTGGAAAAGTCAATAATACTGAGTGAGTAGAAGATAACTGTACCACATGAGGACTCTACCTTCTCTCTAGTACAGAACCTGATTTAAATGTAGAAATCAATGACTTTCTGAACAACACAATCTGCCCACAAACAAAACACCTTTGGTTATATGTTCTACCTTTCTAGACTAGATAATTTACTTCTTTTGAAAGGTGACATAGAGGAAATGTAGGAAGATAAGATAATCATACTTAATATTCTCTTAATAGTTATACCTCATTCTTTGGTAAGCTAAAGAAACAAGTTGGCACAAATGTGCGTATCAAGGGTGTAAATATAAACAAGTCTGCTAATTTTAACTATGTTTTTGTTGCACTGATAAGGTATCAAACTCTGATCGTGCATTTTTCTTTGTTGTCGTTCACTGCATTTTCTTCTATAGACCTAACATTATACATTACAAAAACAAGTAATAAAACCCTAGAAGTTTTCAGTTTTTTTTTCATTTAATAATGTCAAATAAAAAAGAAAAACAATTTGACATTTCCAGAGACAGAGCATAGTAGATTAACAGATTTATATTTCAATACTCTTTTATTTAGAGCCAGATGCTCTGAATTTGTGTTTTGCACTAGGCCCTTCAAATTATGTCTGGCCATAAGGACAACTGCCAGATTGGAAAGGGAGAAAACAAAACAAGGACAGAGAGGGGAAAAAGTTTAAATAACTGACACTCAGTCTGTGAGTGCTCTTAGGCTTGAGAAGCCACATCTAAGTGGGCTTTCCGTGGTCACTTCAGTCTAGTTTGATCCATAGGAAATGCCAATATACGAGCAGTAGAAAGTGGTGAAACCTACAAGAAGCAGAAGCTTACACGGACTGTTTCATAAATTAAAGACTTTCACATTGTGACTCAAAAATCTGCTTCTCTTTGCAAAGACTTGTCATCTGGCTATGTTGATGTGTTCCACCAGCTTTCTCATGCCAGCTATTAGCAATCAGTAACACCATCTTGTAGGACACTGAAAGAACAAATTATGTCAAGTGATAAAGGCAAACATACTTTAATGAGTACATATGATTAATCTCAGTAAATAATAGATTATATTTGAATTAAGGTAGAAAGAAAAAGATAACTTTAAGAGGTGAATTAGGAAATAATTTTATACACTAAGATAGAGAGTGTGGGGAAACTATTTAACCATACCATTAGGACAGATAACATACAGTGAGAGACTTTTCTGAACAAATGTTTAGGTTTCTGACTTTGGTGACCAGGTAGAAATACAAGCTTAGAGGGAATTGACAAGGAAGAGAGATAGTGCATGCCATTTTTAGCCCATTAAAGTTAAAGTCTTGTAATAGGAAGAATGTGAAAGCGATTGTTAAAATAAGACTTATATACTTACCTTTTAGGAGTTTATATAACTTAGCAGCTTAGGAGAGATATGAAAAAAAAAATTCAGGTTTGCATTTCTTCAACAGAATATACAGCCATGGACTTGAAGCTACAAAAGTGAGTTAAGGTACTTAACCCAGGTTACATTTTTATAGCAATAATGAGTTGTTGAAGACAATTCCACAGTGTAACAGCAATTAAATATAGAATTCTAAACATTTGGTCCCAGTCTTGTTCTGTTACTATGTTCTCATGAGAGTAATTACTCTGATTTAGGGAAGAAGTTTTATTTAGTATTAGTTATGACACAGTTTCTATTTGAAACAATTTAAAGTATTACCTCTTTTAATCTTGATGATTTTTTTAGAGATAGGTACACAGATTATGAAAAAGTGTATGGCCAACTGACGGGCAGAGTGAATGGAATTTTATGTAAGAAGTGGGAAATAGTAAGAGCTGGAGAGGACAGGAACTCCACAAGGAGAGCAACAGAACAAGATAATTTGAACACAGTGAACTTCCCAGAGACTCATACTCCAACCAAGGACTATCCGTGGAGATAACCTAGAACCCTGACAATGCAGCCACTTCTGATGAGAACTGATAGACTAAGATCAGAAAGAAGGAGAGGAGGATCTCCCCTATCAGTGGACTTGGGGAGGGGCATGCATGCAGAAAGGGGGGGAGGGTGGGACTTGGAGGGAAGGAGGGAGGGGCTTATGGGGGGGGACACAAAATGAATAAAGTGTAATTAATAAAAGTTAAAAAAAATCAATCAGTAAAATAAAAAAAAGTGTATGGATAAAGAAACATAATGTTCACAAATATAATGTTTTCTATAGATCAAACATTTAGCAAGTGCCAGCACAAGGAATGTGATGAGAAAGTCCTATTGGTGCATCCTGGTTTCCCTAGCTGAGAGTTCTTCTCTTTATTTGACTAAAACACTCCTGATAAAGAATATGATACCATATTTGTGCCCAGCAATGCCAATCAACCATTTATGGTAGAAAACAAATGTTAAGAGCCAGGTATTGTGCATTTCACTACTTGTGTGTGCATGCATATGTGTGTCAGCGAGTTGCCTAATATATGCAAGAATTGCCCACAACATTCAGATCTCAAATTTCTTTCAGTTCGTACAACAACGTTAGAAACATTTTTCATACTCAAAAATTTCTGTGTACAGAAACATGTGAATTCAATTCCCGGCACCACAAAAGTAAATAAACTAACAAGCAAATAAGTATTTTTAAAATCTACCTTATAATTGTTGAGTTTAGGGATGCACTAAGGCTACAGTATTAAATTAGAAGCATGGATGATATTAAACATATTAAAAATTTGCTAAAATATTTTTGAAACACAAATATGAATATTGCACTGACATCTGGACAACAATATTCAAAATGAGACGATATGAAATGAGTCTAAACTTTTAAAAATTGTACTTCAGAATATGTGA